TCTTGCACCCGTTTTGGTTTGTTTTTGGTACAAACCTTGTTTTCCTTGTTTGGAAGGTGGTACAAGGGTGGGAGACCACTTTTTCTCCTTGGAGACCACTTTTCCTTTTGCCAACTAGTTTTCTGGTCGGATAACTGGTTTGCTTGGTCTTTGGGGCCACATTTTCTGGTCAGCCACCACACCACTAGCTTTCTTTCATGCCCTAGACTCTCTCCCACCATGGCCGACCAGTTTATGTCTTGGAAGACCACTTGAAGTGGTCGGCCGACTACTTTAAGTAGCAGGCCGACCACTTCAAGTGGGCGGCTACTTTTTGGCACCTTTTTGGAGATATTTTCCTCTAGCTGGCACAGCTGGAGGGCTTTAGAGCTATCCTCTATACATGTGTATGGAGGGATTTGTTTGGGGCTTAGTTTTTCCAAGAAGCTTTGCCTTTTAGTTTCTATAAGAGGGAGGCTCCTCCTCCCTCCTCTAGATTCAGAAAAACTTCCTTGAGCCATACATATAATCTATATCTATACATCTTCATTTCTCTCTTGTTTTGTGCCTTAAAGTGTAGATTTGTCTCACTTTTGTACACAAACACACACTCAAACACCTTGCTTGTGTCGCTAAGGCTTCTTGAAGTTGTTTTTGGTGTTCTTGGGTTGGTTTGAGCTTAGAAAACTTGCTGGAGTTACAGTTATAAAGGAGGTCTTCAAGGGTGAGCATTTGACCTTTAAATCCCCTATTCTTGCTTAAGCTTTTAGTCCTTCTTGCATACGTTTTTAAGCTTAATTCTTAACTAGAAAAAGTTCTGTTTTTGCATGCTTAAAATAATTGTTTAAGATCACTTTTTCATTTGGGGTGATTTACCTCATCTTAGGCCTTGTTAGGCCTTGTTTTGAGCCATCTCTTTAGGCTCTTGTTGAACCCTTTGCATGACCTTTCTACCATTGAAATCCAGAGGATTTTCAGTGGTGGAAATATGGTTTTGGTGTCCTTAATAGGAGAGGGTCATCCCCTCTCCTTGTATTGTGTTTACTAGCTTCATATGCCTCATGTTTGAGCACCTTTGATAAGCTTGTGTTAGCTTGTTCTTAGCTAGTATTTGTGGTTATTTTGTTGAGGCATGCCACTGTTTTTACTTGCTTTGGTCACTTCATGCATGGTTAATACACTTGTAGTGTAAATCACACAAACTAGCTTTGTATGCCTTATGAAGTAGCATGTCATTCTAGCTTATTTTCTTTCCATTTCATCATGTTTTTGGGCTTGTTTTACCATGTCATATCTCTGTTAGAGTTTGGTTTGGTTAGCCTTTGCATGCTCCTTGCACTTGTAGTGCAATTCCATGAAATAGCCTAACATGCATCATGTTGTAACATGTCATTTTAGCATACTTTTGGCTTAGCTCTGAGAAGACTTTGTTCATGTTTTACTATGTTTAAGGTCTGATTTTAGTTGTTTTGGCTATGCATGGCTTTCTTTGTATAGCTATGGTTCAATCTAGCTCGTTAGCTTTGTGTATTGAGTCCACTAGCATGCTTTACTTGGACTATTTTAATGATTTGGCATCATTTATAATGTGATTTCAGTCCATGTTTCATGGTCATGCACTTGCATTTTCCACTCATTCAATGCGTTGGAGGGTTTCCCCCTTTATGCCTTAACATGGATCATTGCGTATGCCTTCATGCCATAGCTTGCGAGCCATCATTTCAGTGTTTATTTGGGGTTATTTTGCCATGATATAACTTTGATTTTTATTGGTCGAGTCATCCCATGCTTGGTCTTAATAGGTGGAGTGTAATCCACCTTATTTGCCTTGTATGCACCATGCCTCATGCTCACCATGCTAGCTTGTTTTGGCATCCTTCCATACATGTTTTTGACTCATTTTGACATGTTCTAGGACTGTATTGGGTTGCCTTGGTCACATGCTTCATGTTTTGTATACTTGTAGTACAAATGCTCTTGCTTGCCCCAAGCTTTGAGCACCATTGCATGCTTCATTTGTGTTGTGTACATGATTTGGCATCACTTAACATGACATTTCAGAGCATTTAGCATTGCCATGTTCCTACCTCAATCATGCTTTAAGTGCCTTTGAGTGTTATGCATTGTTGCCTAGTTTATGCCTTAGCTCGTATGCTTGCATGCCTAGGCCTTTGAGCCCTCGTCTTAGCATGTTTAGGTCTTTATTTTGACCTACTTGAGCTCCGTCCATGCTTAGTTCATGCATTTGTGCCATGTATTGCATGCCTCCTTTGTAGTCCTCTTTACTAGCTTTATGCTTTAAGGACCCTAGCATGCCATACTTGTGTTGTTTAAATGATTTAGCATCATTTCTTACCTCATTTCAGTGCACTTAGTGTTGCTACACTTCCATGCTTTTTCACTCTTCAAGTGTTCTTGAGAGTTGCAACTTAGTGTCTTAATTGGTGAGCCAATTGGCGTGCATGCTAGTATGTGTTTTCGGTGCCTTCATTTTAACATTATGGCCTCTGTTTTTGGCATGGCTGAGGTCTACCCACATTCGGTTTAAGCCCATTGAGCATTGTGTATGCCATGTCACATCGCACCGTGCATGTTATGTTGTTGTTTGCATTGCGCATGCCATGCTTTTGATTCGCATTGTGTATGCCATGGTCATATTGCATTGAGTATGCCATGTTAGTCATTGCATTGTGTATGCTAGTTACCATTTGCATTGCGTATGCTAGTTGTCATGAGCATTGTGTATGCTATATAGTTCATTCGCATTGTGTATGCTAGTATGATTAATTACATGTTTGCATGCTTGTCCCTCCCATGTTTGCATGCTAAGGTTGCTTTACATTGCATTGAGCATGCCACATTATGTGTTGCATCGTTGTTTGGAATAGGTGTTAGTCCAAACACGAGAAATGAGGGACGTTTCATACTTAGAGTGATGAAACGTGCCTCAA